AGGAATGCTAGGGGTGAAACATGTGAAGAAGATGGAAGGATTTGATTAGGTTTTACCGAAACTCTCTCTTTCTTCTCATGTATTAATATTAATATTCGGAAGGGCCGGCTTGGCTCAGCGTTTGCCGTGGGATCTGAGATCGCGGGTTCGAATCAACCTTTCTGCATAAGGGGTAAGACTGCATAATATATTCTCTTTCCCAACACTCTGGAACTCGAACTGGGTTGGTCTTTTATTGATGTTAATATTCGGGGAGTCAATTGCGTATGCATTTGTGCTCCTCTTCTTGAATTCATGTATGGTTTCACTCTTACTTAACACGAGTGTAGTAGTGGGCTATGTTCAATGCTTGTAATGGAAGATGGATTTTAACACAGTTGGAATGTTTTGTTCTTTGGTCAGTTCCATGGTGTTGGATTCGTAGATTGAATCAATTATAAAAAATGAGATTTTTTTATTAATAATTATTGTGAAAGAGAATATTCGAAGAATCTTCATCGTAAAGGATTTCTGTAACTAAAGTATCTTCACGGGGTTAGAAAAGGGTCGTTGACCGTTTTTCTCCGGACGAGGGGAAACGAGAGAAGAAAAACAACACGTGGCTGAAAATTAGGACACCAAAACCCGACACGTTTTCTTCACGCGCCAAAGTTTTTCTTTTTTTCTTTTTTTCTTTTAGGTTTCTTCTTTTCCTTCTTTCAGCAATGGAAACCAAATCAAACGTAGAGAAATCAATAATTGGCTCCATTTGATGACCATGGCGGTCTTTCACCACCTTTTCAGACTCTCCTCGCCGGCGACGGCGAAGACGAAGACGGCGTTCTCTTTCTTCGTTAGGGCTCTGTCTTCGTCTTCTTGCTCGTCGACTTCTTCGTCCCTGAGTTCTGGAATCGATCTCGAGGCGGCGACCGCTCGGCTCGAGAAGTCGTCGCCTCCGGCGGCGTCGGCGAAGGGCAGAGATGTCCACTGGGTCTTCCTTGGTTGTCCCGGTGTCGGAAAGGGCACGTACTCTTCCCGCCTTTCGAGCCTCCTCGGTGTTCCCCACATTGCTACCGGCGATCTCGTCCGCGACGAGCTCTCTTCCTCTGGCCCTCTTTCTGCTCAGGTTTGGGTTTTCTTCCTTGACAATTTCCTGGATCATTGTCTCGGAATTCTTCAGTTTTGTGCTTAGTTTTACCTTAGCTAATAACTATTCCTGTGGGAATTTCGCAATTGAGAGTTAGGTTGCTTTCTGTTGGGTTGAATTCTGAGTTTCTTGAGGTTGTCTGGGAAATTTGCAGAAGCTTTTAGAGGGTTTTGCTACTCAATTGATCAATATGGAGTCTTGCTCTCAAAACCATAGATGACTGTTCATGTTATCCTTCACATGACTTTGTAAGTAGTTGTAATTCTTGCTTATGATAATGCCTGACCACGATTCATTAGAGTTGCTTAACCATCCCGAAGTTGTCGCCTCTCATAGAGACAGAGGGACCAGGACAAGCCACTATAGAATGTGAGAGTACATGTAGAATGGAGCGTAAAGCTTCTACTGGGTCATCGCATGTGATCCCTTTCCTCCATCCTTGAAGATGTGTAAGAAGGACCACTTCAGATAGGGAGATTAGTTATGAATACCAGTGGATAAACTATCTTGATCAAAGTTTCAAGGCATTAAAAGGACTTACAGGAATGTTTCGGTTTTACGTGTGTACACATGGAGCTAAGGCTGATGATGATGCATGGTTTTCCTTGATAAATTCAGAAAGTTTGAAAGTGAAGTGCCTCTTAACGCATATCCGTGTGGTAAAATCCTGTTTAGAGGGGATTAAGTTTTTTTTTTAATTTGATCTTGGTTTTTCTGAGTTACGAAACACGTTAGTAACATTCTCGAGTTCTAAAGGTATAATTGTTGATTTCTCCACTCCAGTGAGGCCACAATTGTTTCTATATGCGTGTAAAGTTCAGATGACCATGTAAAGTTCGGGGTAGCATGGTGAGATGGGTGGAAAGACGATCTGTCGGTAGCATTGATGACTGTTTCGGGACGGAGAGAGATTATCCTGCATATATATATATATGCTGAGCTTGTATATCACAATCATTTCTATCTTTGTTGTTTTTGCTTTCCAAGTTTTGTAGATTGTGTTTATAAGTTTTGTATTTCTGTTTTGCAGCTGAAGGAGCTTGTCAACCATGGAAAATTGGTTCCTGATGAAATCATTATAAATTTGTTATCCAACCGTCTTGAAGCTGGCAAAGAGAAGAGTGAATCTGGATTTATCCTTGATGGCTTCCCACGCACTGTGAGACAAGCGGTAATGAGCATTTCTTACGACCGATTTCCGAAATTTGCAAATGTAGATTCGGCCCCGTGCCTTTGTTAAGGTCCTTGAACATTTTTCTGTGACTGAAAACATTCATTTCTTGTCTCGTCTTCCAGGAGATTCTGGAGGGAGTGACCGATATCGATCTGGTAATCAACCTGAAGCTTCGAGAAGAGGCGTTACTCGCCAAATGTCTTGGAAGAAGGATTTGTAGCGAGTGTGGTGCAAACTACAATGTCGCATGCATCAATATCAAAGGTGAAGCTGACAGTCCAAGAATGTACATGCCACCCCTTCTTCCTCCCCCAAACTGTGAATCAAAGCTTATAACCCGAGCTGATGACACCGAAGATGTCGTCAAGGAAAGACTTCGGATATACAACGAAATGGTACGTTTTCTTGAACCTGTTGATTTCCGCATCGAAACCCATTTCTTGAATCTGTTCAAACTTTCATTATGTTTGCTCTCCAATGCTAAAAGAACTTGCCTTGAGTTAGAACATTCATTTGCAAGCATTAGGGGTGGACACGGGTTGGTGGACTAGGGTAGGGTATCTGAGATTTTTGGGTTATTCGAATTCGAACTGGCACTTCTCCGGTCTCATGAGATATTTCTGATTTCGGGTTCGTTTTGATCGGTACCTAAAAGTTGGGTATCCGAGATAATTTTTGGGTGCGGAATTTCGAAATTTTCAAATGAAATATGTTAAGAGTTGAGCTCGAAATATCGATTGGTTTGAACGTAATATATCTAAAATCTAGAGGAAAATCACTTCACTATTATGTGTTGATAATATCCGATCTCAGGTTTAATTACCCGATTTAGGGTTTTCTTTACGCTGTAACCCGATTTCATCTCATACAATACTCAGATATCCGAAATTCAGATTTTTTATCCAACATTAGCAAGCACGGGTTTTCCTTTTAAGCGAGACTAAAGATTCTCGGTGACCATTCTGTGTGCATCTAACGTCGACCAATGTATGCCTAACATGATTCGTTCTGTTCTGTCCTGTCAGACTCGACCGGTGGAAGAGTTCTACCGCACCCGCGGAAAATTGCTGGAGTTTGATCTTCCGGGCGGAATCCCGGAATCTTGGCCGCGCCTTCTTCGAGCCTTAAACCTCGAAGACCTCGACGATAAACAGTCTGCTGCAGCGTAGTCTTCTCATGTCCGTACGTTAAAATTGTGTGATGTATTTGCTAAAAGAACAATGGTCATTCTTTGTTGCTTGGTTATTAGGGAGAAGAGAATAAAGTGCTTAGATACATAGGAAATTTCGAATGCGGTGCATGAAAACAGAACAATGGAAGTAATGCCCCCTGTATTTTTGTTTTGCATAGTCCAAGTTTCAAAGTTGTACTTTTTTTTTTGGCTAGGGTGCGAATATGTGATTTTTGGAATATACGTTATTTCTCTAAATTTGAAATTCGAACTCGGGACGAGATAAATACTCTGTATTTCTGTTCCACATGTTGGGTTGAACTACCCAGCATGTAAACCAAAATATATCTTGTCTAAACAAGCTTCTTTTCCCTATACGACACATACACGTATGTATATATATTCGTATAGTATATGGTGCACCAAATATGTATGCATGGCGGATCCAGGTTAAAAATGAAGATGTAAATATGCACATCTATTAAATATCACCAAGATTAGTCTTAATTATTTAAATCAATACATATAGATCACTAAGATTAGTCTTAGTTATTTAAATCAATACATATAGATTTATAAAAATAATTATAATTTTATTTACTTTCCTCCGATTAAAATCATATTTAATGCTTTCTATTTTTTTTTTTTTTATCTTATTACTAATATATTTGATAATAAGTTTTCCTAGATGCCAAAAGTATGTACGACTAAAAAGAGGGTGACGTGAAGACAAATGCATGGAATATGCTGAAATGCATGAAATGAAACCATAGATTTGGAATGGGATACGAAACAGAGGTCCTCCCTTCACAGCCTCATTCATATATATATATATATATATACACCCTCATTTGGATCACAATTTTTACGAATTGTTATTAAACGAGTCCGTACAATATCAAACGCATGGGCCCCACCACTCGGTGATGATGCCACGTGTCCAATCCAACGGTCTAGAAAAAGTTTGGATCCCTCAGATAATATACCTTCAATCTTCGCTACTCCCGGCCCAGCAATAGATCCGATATCCACGTCAGCTTATTAAGCAAACATATTATCATACGTGGCACCACTTGGGGCCATATGTGAGTCCACGTCAGCCGATTTAGAGTATCTTTTCCGGCGAAATCCAGGAGTGTCTTCTCCGACCTAGCCCTTTTCTTTTGTCTGTCACGTGAAAACCCGAACAGGAACTCACATTGGTTCTCTCATTTCCCTCTCATCATCCTCGTCACCATCATCAACATCTTCTTCTTCGTTTTCTCGGTAAGAGAAAACCTAATCTCCCTTTTCCGGCGAGGATTTCACTGTATTGCGGTCGAAGAGTGGATCAAACGTTTCCAGTGTTCTCGAGGTTTGTTATCCAAAATTCATCTGAGTAACGAAAATCATTTAAGTGATTTCTGGGGTTTATAATGGATTCTTTTGTCTGATGCGTGATTGCGGAGTTGCGCTTCCCTAAAATTTCTGTTCTCTTGCCCTGTTTGGTTAGTGAGAAAATTTAAGATGCATAAATTACGATTACCCTTTACGCATTGTCCTCTTTTCTCTCCTTGCAGTGATCAAAAGTAGAAACCATACAATTTTGTTAAGGTTTTCTATCAATGGAACAGTTATTATGGCCAAATCCTCTTTGTTTTCCCCTTTTACATGCGGAATGAAATTCATAAAAGTGGATAAGAAGATTGAGGAAACGAGCTAAGTTGAGGAATGAAGAAAAAGACTTGAAGTCGAACTTCTGCAGAAACATGGATCATATCATTGTCCACAATATGTCTCCATTTCATGAACTTTCTTTGACACTAGTCAACAGACCCTGCATCTTACACCCATGACTCAATATGATGCATGGAAGGATAAAACCGTGGCACGACAAAATTCTTATCTAATGTCTAACTTCAACTCTAGCATCCCTTTCTGCAGGACTTTCTGAAACCTAACAAAAGTGATGGATGTTCTCCATGGAGTAGAGCGCTAACCGCAATCTATGACGTGCCTTTATGGATCTGGTTGATGCGGAGAGTCGAGATGAGTGATGAAGGTCATAAGACGAATGGCTCAGAAGAGGTGGACAATCCACGTCCAACGGGCGCTTGTGGGGCAGGGAAGGACGGGAAAGACGGAGGAGAGGGTCATGGTGTCTCTGAGGAAGAGGATTCAAGGGTCGGTGATGATACCAAGAAGATAAATTGCATCGGTAAGGAAGCGGATGGAATCTCAGACCAGAGGAGTGCTCATGCGGTCGAGAGGAGGCTAGCCAACCAGCTGCAGAAACCAAACCAACTTGCTTTGGAAAGTGTTTTTACTGTGAGGCCACTTAAGGTTCTGCTTGCGGAAAACGACGATTCAACTCGTCTTGTGGTCTTTGCTCTGCTTCAGAACTGTGGTTATGAAGGTGAGATGTTCCGAGCTGTTTGAGTGTTAGAAAGCTGCAATAAGCCCATAACCAGAAACCTGGATATATTTCTTAAGAGCCAAATACTTGAAAGAAATTAACGCTATAGTCATGAAAGCATGGTAAGGAATGTACCTATTTTTCTTGCTCAGAAACTGCTTTGTGATTCTGCGCCTTACATCGAGCTAAACCTTCTCCTTCAGTTGCATACGATCCTAAAATTTCTTCTTCATCTTTGCAGTTGTGCCTGTAGCAAATGGTCTACAAGCATGGAAAACCTTGGAGGATTTAGCCAATCACATCGACCTTGTTCTGACGGAAGTAGCCTTGCCGGGTTTATCAGGCATCGGCCTTCTAGCTAAGATCATGAGCCACAGAACTCGCAAAAGCATTCCAGTTATTAGTGAGTTAGAATTCTTGTGCTGTTCCTGAAAGATCAGAGTATTACAACCTTGTGCCTTTAGATGCTTTTAACTTCTCCGCCTCATGAGTTTTATGTGCAGTGATGTCATCCCACGATTCGATGAATATAGTGTTCAAATGCTTATCCAAGGGTGCGGTCGACTATCTAGTCAAGCCTATTCGAAAGAACGAGCTTCGAAATCTATGGCAGCATGCCTGGAGGAGATGCCAAAGCGTGAGTTGTGAAAGTTTACATGAGCGTTAATTCGATTAAGCATATGATATATCGACTAAATTCCATTTTAAATCACATATGTGTGTATCATTTTGTCCATGTCCTTGGATTAGAGATTCGTGACAGAACATAAGGTATTTGTTTTAGGTAAGTGAAAGTGAGCTTTGCTGTTTCGTCTCACACTTATACCCTGTTTCCTTAAACTGTGTTTTTAAACTTCTGCATAAATATGGAAAAGCAACAGAAAACCATTTACCTTCTACTGTTTCGGCATTCACCTTTCACACTTTCATCAGTCAAGCGGAAGCGAAAATAGTATACAGACCCCAAAATCCACAAAGCGGAGAAGCCTTGACCAGGTGGGAAATGACATCGGTAGCGAATATGAGGATGACATCGGGAGCACTGGTCTGAACCATGATGGAAGTGACAATGGCAGTGGCACTCAGGTACTCATACTTAATATCCCACTATACTCTCCATATGATTTTCTGCGTTTTCTTGCTCGATAGTTTATCATCCTTTGCTCCATTGCACAGTCTCTGTTTATATTCATCATATTCAAAAGGAGACAGAGTTCATGACTGAATTAATAACTTTTAAATTATATTCGGATCAGTTTAATCTGTGGATAAACTATAAAGGGTTTCTTCCCTCTATTTTTTTCTCAACAAAATGCATATAAAGTTATAACCATATGATCACCATAGAGTTCTTCATGTCTCCTGTAATTTCCCCCTCTCCCTATCAGACTTGTGAATAGATTGTGAACATGTTGCAAACAATGCACAACCTCTAACATGACTGTTAATATGAATGTAGAAACAAAACCTAGACCTTTTCCTAGTCTGAGTGATGATACCATGAAGTAGATAAAATATGTTGAACAAATATCTATGATTATGATTCTAAGTTAGGGATTTACTGACTTAACACACAAACAGAGAGACTAATATCCCTGAGATTATCTTCATTTTATTGTACCAACCCAATGTGCCATCTTGCAGAATATTTGGAGATAGCTCACCTTATGGCCTCTCCTTATGTGTGATTCTTTGCCTGGTAGAATGAATGATGATTATTTAATCATAACTAGGTGCTTGTAAAGGAATGACCAAGGATCAAGCATCCATGATAACTTTGCAACTTTAAGATGTGTAACCTTAAACTCTTCTTTTGCAGAGCTCATGGACAAAGAGGGCTACAGAAGTGGGTAGCCCGCAACCAATGTCTCCGTTGAACCAGCCAGCTCATCAAACTGATGGCACTGGCACGCAGGTTAGTCAATCAAGGCCAGAAATGCTAGGCAGTAACTGGGCGCCTCTTGCTCCAGGGGACGAGTTTGAAGGATGGAACAGCATACATGGTAAGCATGTAATGAGGATTCCCTTGTGGATTCAATCTCATGCTTCTCACTTTTGTTGGTTAGAACTTAGAACATGCTGACTGGTTTTTTTTTTCAGTTAATGCACCTGTGGAGAAATGCTCTGACAATAATGTAGCCAAACCTCTATATTTGCAATGTGAAGAACCTGAGGGTAGATGTGAAGCCCGTAAATCAGTTGGTTACATCGATAAATCATCTGGTGAGAGTTGCACTAAAGATTGGAGGAACAAGGAGAAATGTCTGGATTCAAGCACTGAGAAACCCCGTGATGATTCCGTATGCTCGCTTCCATTCATCAGCATCGCTACTGATCCCAACAAGAAGGGTAAAACCACTAGCATGCCAAGTGACAACGTGAAAAGTGCCGCCATGACTGAAGCCATGGGCATGCCTTCTATTAAGCATACTCTTAGAGGGCACCAAGATGTGAAAGATGCCGGTACCAGTTCCAGTGACCAGCAAATTTTTCGGCATTCTGACCTCTCAGCCTTCTCCAAGTATGACAAAATCTTAATCCCCTAGTAACTAAAGGTCTTATTGTAAATGTTTTGTGCTTTCTGTAATGCTGTTGTATCTCCAGGTACAACTCTGACTCAACTGCTAACCAGAGACCAACAGGAAATGTAGGTAGTTGTTCTCCAGGAGACAACAGCTCGGATGCCGCAAAGACAAAATCAATGCAAAACCATCAATCTGTATCCAACAATGGAAGTAGTAACAACAATGACATGGGTTCCACCACTAATGTCAGACCTAAAAACCCTGCAGCATTCACTGATAAGGGAAAATCTGTAATGAAATCACCCCAACCGTCTTCCGGTGTGCAGCTTGAACAAAACAACAACTGCCTCTCACTCTCGGTGCCTGTGCAACGCAAGACTGACACCTTCCCCGCAGCTGAGCAATTCCTGGATCAACCAATGGGCATTGATCAACAGAACAACGAGTTTCACCACTATCAATTTTATGCCCCTTATGGTTTTGCCTATAGTATGCCCCAGATAAAACAGCCAGTTAACCACGATAATGCCTCTCTGCTGTGTGGATCCTCTAATGTTCCAGGTGGCGTATGGGTTGAAGGTATCACAGGTAATCACAGTGTAAATGGAAGTGGGTCGGGAAGCCATCACGGGAGTAATGGGCAAAAAGGGTGTAGCATTGGACTAAATCCGAAGGGAAGGAACATGGAAACTGACAATACCATAGATGAAAGAAGCAGAGGAAATCACGAGATTGGTGATGGACAGAGACAGAACCGTGTTTCACACAGAGAAGCTGCGTTGAACAAGTTCCGACAGAAGAGAAAAGAGCGATGCTTCGAGAAGAAAGTAAGTCATTTTAAGAATTCCTAGAAACAAAACGAGAATCACCATTCTTCCTTTCAGTTTCTTCCATTGACAGATTGATCTATATCTTCTCTACTATCCGAGGCAATATCTGACACACTACATTTCTGATCCTTTTCCTTGCAGATAAGATATCAGGGAAGAAAGGAAATAGCCAAGCAAAGACCGCGCGTCCGAGGCCAATTCGTGCAGAAAGGTGGCGAAGAAAGCAACGAAAAGGACGAGAAAAGCTAATGGACCAACATAGTTTTTTTTTTTTTTGTTAACCAGGAGGTTCACCTGCGCCTTCGGCCCAACCTATATCCCCTAGGCCCGAGAGCAGCCTTTAGAGGCCCGGCGACAGGGTCCAGAGAGCAACACCTTCCCAACCGAGAAATACCCCCTCCCTCCCCATCAGCTGGTTTCGAACTGGCGACCGGGGCTAGAGAGCAACACCCTTTCGCCACTCTACCACCCACCACTGATGGGTTGACCAACATAGTTAGGATCTGCACAGAAGAAAAAAACACCACCTTGCTACTCTTATACTTCGAGTGATCATTCTCTGTTGATTCACAAAAACTCTTGTCAGGACAGGTAGTGATGTAAAAGCCTACCGCCTCCCAATAAGAAGTCTCTCTGAGAAACCATTCGGCTTTACAGTGTAATTGTCGGAACCATTTGTCATCTAAATCTATGTACCTTTCTCTATTGCTTATTGATCCTTGTTGTTAGATCCCCAAAATCTGAAAGCTTGCGACACACACAAACTCGAAACACCGATCTGAATCCCTAGATTGGTCGCGAACTGATCTCATCAGACATCGGGAAATCACAGTGAACATATCGAAACGAGAACAAGGCACAGAAATCAAAAACGAAAAGCTGTTGCAGAGAGAGAGAGAGAGAGAGAGAGAGACGTACCTGATTGAACCCAAGTCGTCGAAGCATTTGCGGAGTTTCACCGGTTATGGATGTGGCTTCAGAGAGATTTGAAATCCGTGTTATTAGTCTCACATGATTGTTGCCAAAGAGTGAGTGAGAGGGGAGGGGAGAGGAGAGCTGATGATATAGTCAAGAAAGGATGACGTGGCAGGAGAGTGCATACGTGGCGAGAGATGAGTGGTGGCAGGGAACCCACATGTATCTCAACAAACTTGCAACACGTGAATGATTCAGGTTAAAGAAAAACTCCACGTGCTTTTTTTATCTCTTTATTTCGTCAAACGTGCTGTTACTATTGTTACGGTTTTAGCTTCGCGCGTTATCATGGATTTCGGCCGATGATCGAAGATGAAAAATATCTATTGGAATGTTGACATTAGTATTTTATAGTCCATTTTGAACAATTAAATTGGAATTACATTTTTAAAATATTTCAGACAATTACAATATAATTAATTCGTTGTAAATTTATTCTAGTCAACCATAAATTAATGACATCCTTTTTTGTTGTCCTACAGGCGAGAAGGAGACGACGGTTATATCGGAGAACCGTTGCAATTTACAGATAAACTCACCCGATTATCTTTCTTTAATCAAATGAAAAAAAAATCAAGGAATGCAAATCCGTAGATTTTGCAAAACAATGGAATCAAATTGGGAAAAAAAAAATCCAAAATTGACGAGATCCACAGAATAAATTTCTATTTTGACATCATTTTAAAATCTAGAGAGAATTTAGCAAATGATCGTTGAAAATTTTCTGCTTTGTATCAAAAAAATGAATTGCAAAATACAAATACTTATACAATATAGTGTGAGTTTAACGGAACCAATCCGGAACGTGTTCGATTCTTTGAGACAAATCAACTTCAAAAGAAAAAAAAAAGAAATTACAATAGGAAAACAAAATCATACATTATCACAGAGGCTATATATACCATTCCCACAGGATTCATTATTTTGTTCATCAACAACCCAACAACAGAAACAATATATCTATATATATATATATCTGAACACTTATGATAATGTTCAAATGTCAAAAAGGGTAATAACAGAACGTGGCGGAGTTATACCTGAGGAGTGTCTTGGGGTTCCTTATCTTTCGGTCTGGTTTCTGGGTTTTGTTCCTCGGTCGAAGGCTTAGGCTTCTCCTCGTTCAGCTTCTCGGGTGTTGAATTCTGCGACTATACATACGACAATGGCATTGAAAAGTGCATACGCGATTGATCTACCAGCGACTGTATCCCCGTATTGAAGAAAACGAAAAAGAACCCCCCCACCATGTGAAAGAAAACGGGACCCACACCCGAACAAAATGTATGATGTATGGCAAATGTTTCAAAATGGTGTTTTCTGCATAAGGAAGACCAACCTTGTTCTTGTCACGCCATCCCAGTCCGAATGTAAGCAAGCTCATCTTCCTTTGAGGAGGTTCGGGTGACTGATCATGGTTGTTCCTGGCAGGTGAATCCAGATTCATCGCCCTAGAAAGTTTAAGCCCATTTCTGAAATATTAGGCATCGTAAGGAATAGAAGGATGGAAAAATGCGTAACACTCTCTTTAAACACGAGGGTGTGCTTGAAGAGTCTGGTGAAATGTTGGCGAAGGTTAGGGTTGTGCTTTGAGTTGAAACAGAGAACAAACCGAGGGGAAGGTTGTGCTTTGAGTTGACCAGATTGATACTGCAAAGTCGCCTCCAACATGGACTCTGCCATCACGGCTCTCTTCTCCATTTCCGCGAGAGTAGCAACAGCCTCCTCGTATTTTTCCTACAACAACATCATGTTCATATCCAAGAAGTTCAGATGGTAACTGAGGAGTGACCATGCACGAGTCTGTCTTACAAACAACTGAACAAGAAACAGGAACAGGGTAATTTTTTATGCAGGTAAACATGTCACATTTTCTTGGAAAAGGCGAGATTGGCGGAACTATTTCTAGGAGGAAAACGCCTTTATTTCGGAGGCAAGGAGTAAAAACCATGGGCAGTAATCGATAAAACCAGATTCTGCAGGTGTGGTGAATCGATTATTTTTTTTTAAACCTGAAGCACTTGAGCAGCATATCTCTGAGCAGCCGCATCTTGCTCAGCAAATCTACGAGCATCTTCTGTAACCTTCTGTTCTTGCTCCACCCGCATCAACACCTTGAGAAGTACCAAGTGAACTCAGGATTACCATGCCAGAGCCCGCAAGATGAGAAAACATAGTTAATTCTTGATAAGTAAACAATGTGCAAAAGTAAACCTGAAGCATAGCACTTTCTTGCTCCTGTTTATCAGAAAGGAGTCTCCGGAGTTCAGTCACTTCTTGCTCCAGCTGCTCAACCTGTTGAAAATATTCATTACAAGTAACAAGTGACAAGTTTAGACAGTTTCAGACTTAACACAGGTGTCATGGCATGGCACTAGATCAACACTACAATAAGATTTAAGACATGAACACCGATGAAAGTAAAAGCCAAATCGGCATCCATATTCACGAGATCGATCATAAACGAGTTATATAATTGGCACCCTAAATTTTGTTAGGAATGAAATATGAATTATATGATATGACAAGCTTCATAGTGAACCTTTGCACTCAATTGCCGCCGATTGTCTTGTTTGACCATCTCCATGAGAGCAATCTCCAACTCTTCAGCTCTAAAATAACAAGGAAAATCAGGTGATGGGAAATAAATGGGAGAAGTTAGAAGAGATAACGAAACATAAAAAAAAAAAAAGGAAAGAAAAGAAGAAGTTATTCTGTGATCTTATTGTCAAAAGTAGCAGATCAGGCCATAATATTAACCTCAGGATAGCTGATCGTCTCTCTTCGAGTAACTTGCAGAGTTCAGCCTTCAACCAGAGAACCTGAACAAGATGTTGATAAGCTTTAAAAGAATGCCGCTAATATCGATACTTTAAATAGCCACAATGTTAAGTGTATAAAAGGCCTAAAGTGCATTCGTTTAGTTGTGGGCATTCCCATAAAGTGGTTGTGTACCTTGACACAAAAGATAATCACTTAACATTCCAGTATCCTAGGGCCAGGATCTCCAGCCAATGAAAACAAAGAGGACAAATCACCTGCGCTTGAAGATCTTGAACTGAGTCTACCTCCCCGTCCCCAGTCAGGTTGACTAAGACTTCATCTGCATTACTAGATTCAGACTCTGAACGAGACAAATTCCCATTTGTCAGTGACACTTTGCTCGAATCCACCGAAACAGACTTTGGATCTTGCTTAAAACCGTATAGTTTGGAAGCAAGACCCTTAGAATCCCTCCAAGCTTGAAGCCCCTTCGATCTTTCCTCAAGTGTAGCTATCACAGCTGGCCTGTGCTTGCCCCTCATTTCCAGCAGCCTACTTTCCTGTACACTTTGGTAACCCATGGAAGCAGTCAAAACGAGTTGGCTGCTATCAAATGTTGAACCAGCCAGGGACTGTAGCAAAGTGACAGCATCTCCAGCATCCTTTGTTGTAACTAAAGCAGGACCTGAAATGGATTAAAGGACTAGAAATTCAGACCAGTCTCAGAGATGATAGATACTATTGTGTCCTAAAAATATCAGTTAGAGCGATATGCCACTAGTTTCAACCAACCATATAGTTCCATCAATGCGAGTGCTGTTCTGAAAAGCATAACACGATTTCCTTCAAAGAGAAGCACGTCCCAGACTCTAAGAACTGTCATTACAATGGACATTTTTTAGATAGAAATTTGGATGAATCAGGAAAGACAACGTCATTGTTTTCATTTCGATGAGACAAAGGAAAAAGGAAGCATATTTGAACAGATATAGTCACAGAAAGAGTTTCAGGTGGTCATTCTGCAATATCAAATAAAGGAAAGTTTCAATTCAATGTAAAAAAACCTGACCACTTTCCCATGGAAGCATGTTCATGAAGATGGAAAGAAACCATGGCCCTGTAACCCACGCCACTTGCACTCCCAGATAATCAAGATGATGAACTGCAGAAGTACTAATGTCAGGAAGAGCAGTAGATTTGGCAGCAATGGAGAAAACAAAGAGGGAAAAGACTAACCCAGTTTAGGAAATCTTTCTCGAACCAACTCCTCCAAAACTAGTTGGTCAACCTGAGGCAAGAATACAAAAGCAAGAATACAAATTTCAATGACAAAATTGACAGACATTTTCATGTATAGAGAAGTAAGTACAATTTCTCACATGAATATGACCTATCTACCCCGAAAGAGAAGAAACATTTGTGGAAAAATATAAACAAACAACGGATCTTCTTACCTGAGACTCAATCATTTCTTCTGAATAATAACCATCGAAGTAGTCATCCATGATTCCTATCAGCGTCCTAAAAGTCAAAAAAAAATTACCAGTTAAGATACAGATTGGTTAAAAAGAAGATGTAAGGAATACACATGCGACATTCAACTGGATAACCAAAAAGAAACAAATACACAAACTAAACATAGAAAGTGATCCTAAAACATTTGGTTCCAGAAAAGAGGAATCGGAAATAAATTAGCAAATAATGAAAGAAGCTGAAGAAATTAGCCTCATCAAGCTTCTGAACATACCAAAATGCATTCTCTTCAGGCATCAGAAGCAATAAAAGTGCAGCAAAGAAATTCATGGCCTGCAGATTGTTTATTCACACAAAAAGTATTAACTAGAAAAGAGAAACTAATTCATAACTGCAAAAAAGCAGATGTTAATCTTTTATTAAGCATAATACAGTAGGAAAGAACAGAATCAAAATGTTATTTCAGGATCAAATACCTGACAATATCCAACAGAGGGATTATGTCGCGCATAAGCAGTAAGCAATCGCCGCAAAGCATTTCTGCCATCATCATCTAGGGCAGGGTGACCTGGAAATGTCCGAGGCAAATCCTGTATGTGAGATATGTAACGCCTTCAGAATTCTGACCAACATCAATGCGAGTCTAGCACCGCACAACAAATTATAGATGCTCCATGCCGAAAAAATGCAATCACTAAACCTTTTCTATTTGTCCTTTCCATTTTTCCACAGCAGCAATGGAGTCCAGACTTGAACCTTTATCATCGGCAAGCTGCACAAACTCCTGCTCTCCATTGCTTACTGGACTATCTGAAGCAAGCAGATTCTGGTAATAATTCTCCATCCGCCTTTTCCTCACACCCACAAATGCTTGCCAAAGCTGAAATACAAGTTAATAAACCTCTATATTAATATTATTTTAAGAGTTAGAATGGAAACCAGATGCACATGTCAGAAGAGAAGGCAGTGACATATACATGGCAGGATTCATTACCTCACCCCTAAGCGCCATTGGAACACCTCCACGAACAAGTACTTCGAGTTCTTCTTTCCAGGGACATGCTGCTATCGTGGAAGTTGCCTCGGCAACAGAAGACATGCCGGAGACACTTGTACCATCTGAAGAAGAACTATCTTGAACTGGATCTGATCTCTCCACATCATAAAACTCATCTTCAGAATCATTTTCAGATGCTCCCTTGGAAAATTTTGCATCATCCAATGAAGGTGAAGATTTTGTCTTTTGAGCATCTTGCTCTTCATTTAATGCATCCTTCTTCGTTTTTACACGTACACTCATCAAGTCCTCAATTGCTCGGAGAGATGGTCTGATTTCAGTCCATAATTGGACCCTGTGAACTTTCTTCTCTGCATTGGGGCGTCCATCTTCCTCTCTACCATTTCCAGGAGTTCCATCAGAATCCGATTTATCAGTATGTAAACCTTCTCCTTCAGCGTCTTTATTTAATTCATCCTCTCTTTTCTTCTCATTTTCATCAGGCAGTCTGCAGCTATTTCCAGGTGATCCATCTGCAGAAGACTCGACCGATTCCACATGATGTTCCAAGAAATTATTCCACCTTTCTGACCTTTCTTCTTCTTCCTCCTGCACTTATTCGCAAGGAATTCCATTAAAAGTTGGGAGTTTTATGGGGGAACCGTTTCCAACTGAAACTGAAAGTGCCAATTTCAGGGTTATAAATCAATAATACCAAAATTAGACTTAGAGACAACCCAAGCTTTTCTTGTCACGGCCAAAGTGCAAAAATAATCAAGTTGATGAATATCTGAGAAGAAAAGAAAGAGAACCTTGTAGATATTAGCATACTCCCGGTATCTCTGCACATGCTGAGGTCTCACAGCAAATCCATATGCATCCCTGTTGATGTAAATGGCCATATTAACTGCCAAAAAGCTTGTAATGAAAGATTTGTCACACTAACTAGTCAAATGAGTTCTCCATCAATCTTCTACACTGACTCAAAACAATATTGCATCCTTCATAAGTAGCCAGATCGTGGAACATAATACATTACAAATCATTTTCACTTGAAATCTCTCTATCTCTCCCTCACACAGATCACTCGAACCCACTTACTATAGAAACCCCTTTTGCTAATCATTTATACAAAAAATAAGGGCAATAATCTCCTAGTTAACTAACAAATCCTGTCCAGATCGTGTTCAAACCAGGATCAATAATCATCCGATACTATCAATTTTTCCCACCAGACAGCAACCAAACCACGACCTAAAGAAACATCGTAACGAATCATAAACCATTCCGTAGATAATTATACCCCAAAAAAAACCATTCCGTAGATAACTCCAACGGAAAATCGAAAACCAGCATTTGGCTTAGCAAGTCCAACGCGGTAGTAGAGACAACAAGTGCATGAACCTCTGCAACATCAATCCGCAACTGAAGAGCGAGGAGAAGTGGAGAGGAACCAGCACGAAGGCAAAACAAACCTCTTGTGCTCGAAAACGGAGAGAGGGTAAACAGGCTTGGAAGCGGCGGCGGCAGTGGCGGCGGCGGTCCTCATTCCTAGCACAAACGATGAGATCTCTGCCGGGGAGAGTTGGAATCTCGGCGACGGCGGCTAAAGGAGGAAGTAAATCCGACGGAGAAGGCGTTACTTCGTCTTCATTCTGCAACCGCAACTTCTTCAAGGAGGAAGCAGAGAGAGAGAGAGAGAGAGAGAGAGAGAGAGAGAGAGAGGCAAAATCACATGGAAAGGGCGAGATTGTCGACGAGGCTATTTACATGTGAGATTTCTCCGCTGCGTTTGGTTCCTTGGCACGGAGTCCAAAAGGTCGATCTAATTTTCTCAAAAGCGCAAAGGTTTAGTAAAAAAAAAACCGTCAACAAAAGAATACGATAAAATCCGAGGTGCATTAAAACCAAAATTAAATAATATCCGTGGCATAAAAAAATGCTAAAAATGACATCTAAATTGGTAAATGTTACTATAATTATTTGATATAGAAGTTTCGATAAGCACTAATTTTGTAAGTTACACAATTTTATAGTCTTATTTGGTATGTTTAAAGAATTGATCGCATTGGGTATTTTTGTTTTATTTGGCATGTATTTTATTGTATTGTACTTATATTGGAAATCATTTATAATATTCAAATCCAAATTCTAATGCAATATTTGTGAATCTTGATTCAAAATTAAAATTGTTTTTTTTTAATGGAGTGGGAAAATGATGTAAAATTGATGGGATTGGCAACATGCATATGTAACGTTGTGTCGGCAATAAAGTGCCGTAACTTTAGTAATGGGTAAAGGACCCATCATCGAGAATTAAATATAAAGCTAATATATGTCAAATCATCATTATACATTTAAGACACATCCACATATATGAAAATATATATGCATGTCATGTGAGAAAAGTTTATTATAAATAAGCATATATATAATTTTGATTCAGGTTTTGATTACTAAGTTCCGAATTTTAAAAAGGATTTATTCAGTTTTTATATCAATTTTTATTTGGTTTTTATCAAATAATAATTTAAATTTTAAACCAAATTAAATAACTTATATTTTAATATTTAACGGTTCATCAGCCGCATCAAATATTTTGAAGTTTATATTATCTTTGAAAAAAAGTTGTGAGTTGTTATTTATACGTGGTTATGGTTCAAAATTGAATGATAGTATGCAATTATATTTTTTGTAAAATCGATAAAGTAGAATTTAAATCAAATTTAATATAATATAGTTCTATTTAAAAAACCGAAATAATTAAATATTATATAACCAAACTCAACCAAATGCCACCCAACCCAATGTTTACATGTTTTTTAGACAAATATCCATGGACTCGTCTCCGCTGCCAAAAGACAAAAAAGAAAAAAAGAAAAAGAAAGAACCCGTAGCCAATGTCCGGTCTGAACTTCTCCGTCCCAGCGACGTCATTCCGCACGACACCATGCGAATGGGTCCGCACAGTTTCCGCCTCCGCCGCCATTGTCTCCTCCAGCCCTGGAGGAAGAGGAAGACGAAGACGATTTCAACTCTGTAGAACAGAGGAAAAATGAATGCGAATACCGAGAACTTTTGGAAAAGATTTTCTATTCTCTTATTAAAAAAATGTTCCTGTACACATCCTTTTATACAAGCTAATGAACTAAGTAATTCAAATTACAACAAACATTTGAAATGAAAATGTAAGCGGGAATTTACAGGGAAATTGGAGTAACAGAAATGTAACAAATTGCCCAAACGAATTCTGTTAGAACTAACCACAAACAGACTGAGCTATTGCGCCATTGCCATATATGTATGTGCTGAGACTCCCCCTCAAGATGGGGAGAAGAGATGCTGAACACCCATCTTGACTAGAAGCATACGAGAAAGCTCCACCGAGATAGGCTTAGTCATGATATCTGCAACCTGGTCTGAAGCTGGTAGATGTAAAGGTTTCAAAAAACCAGATTTGATATGTTGCCGGATAAAGTGACAATCGAGCTCGATGTGTTTCGTCCGCTCATGAAACACTGGGTTATTAGCAATATGAACAGCGCTTTGATTATCACAAAAGAGGGTTACTGGCCGAGGACAAACAATGGACAACTCATTGAGCAGAGCTTCCAACCAAACTAATTCACAAGCTGTTTGCGCCATTGCCCTATACTCGGCTTCTGCACTACTGCGAGAAATAGTATGCTGCTTCTTAGATTTCCAGGAAATCAGGGAATCACCTAAGAAGACGCAAAAACCCGTGACAGATCTGCGGGAATCAGGACAACTTGCCCAATCCGCATCAGCATATGCACTAAGACGAACTTCAGAAGAAGCAGAATAGAACAGTCCTTGAGCTGGAGCATTTTTCAAGTACCGTAAAACACGAAAAGCAGCCTGTAAATGCTGAGATCTAGGGGCAGACATGTACTGGCTGAGCTTTGTAACCGAGAAACAAATATCAGGTCTAGTTAAAGACAAGTATATTAGTTTCCCGATGAGTTGACGATAAACCAGAGGATCAGGGAGGAGCTCACCTGAATCTTGTCCAAGTTTCTCCTTGATATCCATAGGAGTAGCAATGGGTTTGCAACCTAACATCCCAAACTCTTCTAGCAGCTCCAAGGTGTATTTACGTTGACAAATGTAAATGCCACGATGAGAACGAGCCACTTCCAGACCCAAAAAATAATGCAGAGGTCCAAGATCTTTAATCTGAAAGGCATTACTCAAAGTCGATTTAAGATCAGTAACCAAAGCAGGATTATTCCCAGTAATGAGGAGATCATCGACATATAAGAGAACTACCACAATATCAGAATGATGTCGTTTAAAAAACATCGAAGAATCAGATAATGCCTGAGCATAGCCAGCAGACAAAAGAACCTCAGAAATCTTAGAATTCCACTGTCGAGAAGCCTGCTTTAAACCATATAGAGATTTTTCAAGTTTGCAAACAGAATCAGGTGGTAAACGCTCCCCCTGAAGTTCTGCAAATCCTGGAGGCAGACGCATGTAAATCTCTTCATGTAAATCACCATTAAGAAAAGCATTACTCACATCCATATGGCAGAGAGACCAATTAAACTGAGCTGCCAAAGCTAATAAAGTCCGAACTGTTGTGAGCTTAGCAACAGGACTGAAAGTCTCCAAATAATCAATGCCCTCCAATTGAGTGTAACCCTTGGCAACTAATCGAGCCTTATGTCTCTCAACAGATCCATCAGCATGATACTTGGTTTTAAAAACCCACTTGCAGCCTATAGGATGTTTACCAGCAGGCAAAGAACAAATGGACCAAGTTTTAGTCCTAGCAAGCGCCTGCAACTCAAGTTTCATAGCCTCTCTCCAAGTTTCAAATTTTGCTGCCTGGGTATATGACTGTGGTTCAGGTGTGGTAGTGATGGATAATGTAAAATGGCGATAGGAAGGAGAAAGTGTATCATAGGTCAAAACAGAATGAAGAGGGTGAGAGGTAACAGAAGAAGAAGTATCAGAAGAAAAATGCTGTAAAAGATAGCAATGATAGTCTGAAAGATATGCAGGTGGTTTAACATGTCTAGGTGGTCTAACATTATTCTCCAAAACCCTCAATTCATTACCAACTGTTTCATTAGAAGAAGACGCAGAAGAAGAAGAAGATAAAGGCTGGACAGACCTGATTAGTGAATCAGAAACTGACACGGGATGATCAAAGAAATATGGAGAAACAGCAACTGGAAAAAATTCTAATGCAGAAGAAGGTAATGTGTCTTTCTGAAACGGGAAGGAAGATTCATGAAAAACGACATTCCTGGAAATGATAATTGCATTAGAAGCAAGATCCAAGACCTTATAACCTTTGACACCATGAGGATAACCCAAAAAGACAGCTGGACTAGAGCGAGGACTGAATTTATGTCTATCTTTAACGTGAGTTGATACATAGCAAAGACAACCAAAGACCCTTAAATGTGAATATTGAGGTTTCTGATGGGTAAGCATCTCAAAAGGGGATTTATTGCCAATAACAGGAGAAGGCAACCGATTAATAATATAGACAGCAGTAAGAACACAATCACCCCAATATGACAAGGGAACATTAGACTGAAATAAAAGAGACCGTGCAACATTTAGAATATGCTGATGTTTGCGCTCCACAACAGAATTTTGTTGTGGGGTGTATGGACATGAAAATTGATGATCAATACCCTTGCTAAGAAATAAATCTGTAAAAGCAAGTTCAGGGGCATTATCCGAACGAACACATTTGACAGTGACTTTGAACTGATTCTGAATAAAAGAAAGAAACTGAGGAAATTTGGTAATAACATCACTCTTTGATTTCAATAGGTAAATCCAGGTACAACGAGTAAAATCATCAACAATAGAAAGAAAATACTTATGCCCGTCAACAATTTCAGTATGAAAGGGCCCCCAAATGTCTATATGTATCAACTCAAAAGGTAAGACAGACTTGTGACTGGAAATAGGAAAGGGTAATTTCTTCTGTTTTGCCAAAGGGCATACAGGACACATGGAAAAAGTATCAGATGTAGACTCAAAAGAAATCTGAGAAGAGTGACCAAGAGAACTGATTTTGAGATTAGATGGATGCCCAAGACGATGATGCCAAATATCAAACGAAGTGGCAGACAAGGCTGTGCACAAAGGACCCGAGAAAGCTGAAGGACGAGAGGACGAACTCTGCATCTCAAAAATATATAGATTGTGACTCTGACTACCCTTGCCAATCATCAATCCCTGAGTAAGGTCCTGAATAACATAAGATTCAGGAGAAAATACCACAGAACAAGGAACAGATTTAGTTAAGCAACTGACACTAAGTAGATTGTAATGAAAGGAAGGGATGAACAAAACACAAGACAAGGTAATTTGTGGAGAAAGGACAACAGAGCCAGCCTTAGACACAGGAATTGACAGATGATTAGGAAGAGAAACAGAAACAGTTGGAATATCATGAAGTTCAGAGAATAATATCGGATCACAACAAACATGAGAACTTGCTCCTGTATCTAAAATCCAAACTGCTGAAGAAAAATTAAGGGCAGGTTTTAGAGATGAAAAAATAGAATGAGAAGAGGAAATGATACCTGGTGAAGGAGGTTGGATGACAGCAAAATTTGAATCATTGGATAAAGAACTCTGACTCTTTTGTTGCAAAAGATATTGCGCCATTAGGGACTGAGCTTGCTCCAAAAGACTTGAACCCGAGGAAACTTCACTAGTGGACCTAGGAGTACTGAATGATTCAATACCATCCTTCTGAGCACCAACCATATTAACATGTGACTGAAACTTATCATTCACATGAATTTTAGG